CGAGGCTCAAGGAAATGGCTCACACGATTGTAGAGGCTGGGGAGTTCTGGGTCTGTGTGTCAGATCGCAGACTCCAGGCTTCTCCTGACTCATAGATCCTATAGAAAGAGGCTGATGAACCCAAGATCAGCAAGCCAGACAGCAGGTTTCTGGCTGCAGATGTGAAGGAACCCAAGCCCACCAGTAAGATGGGAGGGTACGGACTACTCTCAGCATCCACAGGCAAAAGAGCAAAGTACTCTCTCACGTCCAAAGAAGCAGAGGGCAGATGATAAGCCACATGCAGGATCATGAACCATCCAAGACAGCGGTTCTCAACCTGAGGGTCAAGATACCTTTGGGGGTCAAACGACCCTTTCACAGGGGTCGCCTAAGACCATCAGAAAACACAGAAATATTTCACATAGCCAATGGCATATTGTTTTGTGATTAATCACTATGCTTTAATTATGTTAAATTTGTAACAATGAAAATACATCCAGCATATCAGATACTACATTACGATCCATAACAGTAGCAAAATTACAGTAACAACGAAAATGATTTTATGGTTGGGAGGGTTATGACATGAGGAACTGTATTAAAGGGTTGTGACATTAGGAAGGTTGAGAACCACTGAGCTAAGAGAAGCAAACTTTGCCAGCATATTCACATATATCAAAAGCAGGAAACTCCCTTTTGATGGACCGGCTGTAGATCTCATCATGGAAATGATTACATATTAGATCTTATTGCAGAGCTGAACATCTTAACTGTCAAACGAGGGAGGGTCCTGACTCAGCCATTTGAACACACAACCTGAAACATCACCAGGAAGGAAAGTGACCCCATGTGGTAGAGTAGAAGTACTGAGTTTTCTGGGTTGCGATCTTATAGGAACAGACTCCCACGTATTGCTCCTTCTGAATTGCTAGCTGGATTTGAACCACTGACCTTTGGATGGCAGCCAGGCAGTTAGCATGCACTCCAGGGGCTCCTTTCAGTCACACATGGCTGTCATCTTGAGTGCAGTGGAGCTGATTCCAGTTCACAGGGACTCCATGTGACAGAGGAGAACTTTGATGTCTCTGGACTTCAGTCTTTATAGCAGTAGATCCCCAAGTGCTTTCCTGAGGAGCCACTGGGCGGGTGCAGACTGCCAACTGCTTTCTTCCTGGGCGGGGGTGGGGGCTTCTCTTTCATGCCCCCTGGGGAGCTGCTCAATTGTGCTAAAAGAACACTGGTTGTCCTGAGCATTGGCCGTTGGGCTGCTAACAGCAAGGCCAGTGGTTCAAACCCACCACAACTCCCTAGGAGAAGGTGATGCTGTGTGATCTCATCAAGGTTTATGGTCCCAGAAACACCGTCTAGGGTTGCCGGGAATCAAAACTGACTCAAAGACAGTGGGTTTGGCGTGGAATTCCGAAAGACTGTGTGAGGGTGCAGAGGAAAGAACCTGTAACTGTCAGTAGCTCCATCTGCCAGTCACAGAAGCATAGCAAATCAGGAAGCGCTTCTGAGTGGAAGAGCGGTCCAAAGAGGCCGACAGGCTACCGGGAAGGGTGTTTCCTAGATGAGGGCTTTGTCCCGGAACATGGACTAGGTGTCCAGTGGAAGCCAAGGGCCACTGGAAAAGTGACTATCTTCCCATGCTGGCAAATGTTACTACGAAATCAGATTCGTGGGTATAGGGTCAAGCACTATTATTTAGAACAAAATTATGGCAAAAACATTGAAAACAAAGACTCTCATACAACTCTTTAAGAAATGAATGATTGCCTCAATGCTAAAAAACCAACCAGGGGGATCGTCTCATCTTTTAAAAGCCTTCATCAGTCTACTTCAGGCATCTATTTCTGCCTTTGAGCAGAGATTGAAAACCATTCACAAGATATGGACAAAGACTGAAATGTTAGAATAGCAGATCATGTCAAAAAGGTTCTCTTCATGTTTAATTGAAATACCTGAATAATTATTCAATTGAATTATTGAAATGTGAGAATAATTGAAAATGTGTATGTGTGTGTTTTAAAGTGTTTTTCCATATTCCACTTCCCCCCCCTGGAACTCCTAGCAAATAAAAAGAAAGATCGCTGTAATAGACAACAGGCATCTCTCGTGTTTTCCACCAGAGACCCGCACTGCCAGCCTTTGGGGTTGCTCTCTCCTGGGACGTGGCGGTGACGTAGGCAAAGTCCTGCTCTCATAAAATCCTTTAGCGTCTCAAGATGCTCAGAGCTGCTGCTCCTCAGACCACGGGTGGCTTCCATTAAGGAATGGGTGCTCTGGTCCCAGGGCCCCCAGGAGCCAAGCCAGGCCCCGGCACAGATGTGATCCTGGTGCCCCAGGCTGCTCCCTCCTCTAGTGCTGGCCGCTCCCTCAGCTGTGTGGTCATCTGGACCCATCCCCTCCTGCCGGGCCTGCTGGAGAGTGGGCTCCTCACATCTGTTCACTGTCTGGCTCTCTGTCTCCCACTTCTTATCCTACAACCGGTGAGGAGTCCCTTCTCACATTGCTCCCCACCGGGGGTGGCCGAGTCCAGGTAAGTGACCAGAGCTTTCACGGTGTGGGCAGCGCTGGCTCAGGCTCCAGCTTCCAGGGTCTGATGGTCAGTTCTGCTCTTGGGTTTTTCCTGCCTTCCCCCTCGCTCTTGCAGTTCCCAGACACCAGGCTCCTTTCTTTGAGCTAATTGTGACCACATGTGTGAGACCTGGCACTCCTGTGATCAGTGAGAAGCACCCTGCTCACCCCAAGCACCGTGGGGGCACACCTGGCAGCTCCTCTTGATGGTGCCACTGCAGCTGCAGCTGGGCAAGCACAACGGCTTTGCAGGGAGGGATGCCGTCCTCAAACTCAAGAGACTTGGGACCCAGACAAAACCAGACGTGCCCACGTACGTTATTTAGCTGGGGGGTGGGGGTGGGCAGGGACGCTCTTTCTGGCAGAGCCTGCTTTAGGTGCCTTATGGGTGTGACACGCTAGTATGTGCAAAGTTGACTGGGCCACTAGTGAGCAGGTGTGCCTCCTGCACTCTGGCGAAGTGCTGAGGTGGGCATGGGTTTTCCCTCGGCTGTCAGGGTGTGCATCTGAAATGCCCCCCATGAGGTCAACACATGGTCACCTGACCTCTCAACCTCTGGGTCAGCCACCCTGTCCACTCAAGCCCAACCCACCCAAGTTAGTGTGAGTGTAGAGTATCTGGAGCCCAGTTCCCAGCAGGAAAACAGGGGGTGGGGTGGTGCTTACAGAGTGAGGCGATGGCTCCCTCTAGCCCTGCTGCACCCATCTCTCCCTCTGGAGGACCTCAGAGTGTAAATCTGTGTGGGCACAGACACTCTCATCTCTTGCCCAAAGTGGGTGGTGGGTTTGAACTGTCCATGCCTTGTGGTTCGCAGCCTAACACCTAGCTCACTTCGACACCAGGGCTCTTTAGCAAATTCTCTGTAAGCTATTATTCCAGAATATTCTTAATTGATTGCTGAGACCTACTGCTACAATACCACACAATGCAGCCCTGGCACTTCTTGCGATTGGCGTCTCCTTCACAAAGCATGCTGGCCAAGTCGTCCAGTTTCCTTTCTACTGAAGGCCACGCCCTGCACCCCTGTCCCTCCCTCCATCGGTCCAGGCACACAGCCTCCTCTCCGCTCAGTTCTTCCCAGGGCTGGAGCCCCAACCCCCTGCCACCATGTAGCAGGTCACCCATCCCTGATCACACCGACACAGTGCTCTTTTAAGCCCTCGTGGACAAAGCCTGACATCATAGGGTGCATTTGTTTGTTTGTTTGCATATTTAAGAAATCTCCCTGCAGGTGTCCCACAGGACTGAGTACTCTTTCCAGTCGCCGTGGTGGCCCGTGTGGTCACCATGGGCTCAAACACCACTGTTGTGAGGATGGCATAGGGCTGGGCACGGTTTCCTTCTGTTGTGAATAGGGTCGCTATGGATCAAAACCGAACCACAACAGTAGCCAGCGTGACTCTCTGTGGCTCTGTTGGCTTGCTAACAGCAAGGTTGGTGGTTCCAATCCACCAGATGATGTGGGGGTGCAAGAGTCGGTGCTCCCCCCAGGAAGCTGGCTAGCCTGGGAAGCCGTGTCTGGCGGCTGGGAGTTGGAGCTGTCTGTGGCAGTGGGTTTGTTGTTGGACCACACCCCGCCCCCCATTGCCGTCTGTCTCTCACAGTTTCCTTACAGCCCCATCTATACTCCCCTGTTTGGGTTTTACGCTGCAGTCTCACAGACTGCTCAGGAGAAGAAACTGAGTCTCGGAGAGCATGGTTTTTAACACCACCTGGCAAGTCAGTGGCACAGCCAACACTTTGATGTCAGCCATCTGTCCCAGGACACCCTTCCAGGGGACCTTGGAGACAGTGCATCTCCTCTCCATTCCCAGAGATGGGCCAGGAAAAGGAACCAGTGTGGTGTGAGAGTGAGACGGCTCCTGGAGGCTCCAAAGGACGGGGACCAGGAAGCCAGGCAATCATTTGGGATGGGCAGTCAGAGCATGGGTGTTTGACACTTCCTGATGTGGGAGCGTTGGTGAAGGCAGCGTAGGGTCGGGATAGAGGCTGTGTTGGGGACGTGGACTTGAATGAGCTCCCTGCTCAGCTGTCACTCTCCTTGTCACTAAAATGGGTGCAATAAATGCTATGATGAACATGTGTGCATGCATTCATGTGATGTGTACATACTTATACACACACATGCGTGTACACATACAAGGGGGCTTCACCGTGTTCATGGAAAAATGAAATCGAAAGATAATGAAACATTTCCAGGAACTCCTTGAAGCCTTTTCATGTATAAGCTATGTGGGGGTTAACTTGTGTGTCGAGTGCACGTCACGTGTGTTCCAGACCATCATACGTGGTTGAAAAATGCTACCTGTTGATGCGATTGCTAGTCAGAGAAGGCCGAGGCAAACGCCTTTAGCGGGGCCACAAAGTTTGATGGAGTGCTTGTCTCCCCCCCACCCTACCCCCCAGCCCCCCCAGGAGAGCTGGGCCCCGAATGTCCAGGATGGAGGTGGACAACCAGACCCGGGTGACCAAGTTCGTTCTGGTGGGCTTCCCCGGCACCTGGGGGGTGCGTGCCGCGATATTCCTGATGTTCCTCGTGGCCTACATCCTGACTGTGGCCGAAAACCTGGTCATCATCTTGCTGGTGCAACAGAACCGTCCACTGCACAAGCCCATGTACTTCTTCCTGGCCAACCTGTCCTTCCTGGAGACCTGGTACATCTCTGTGACGGTGCCCAAGCTGCTGGTCAGCTTCTGGTCCGTGAGCAACACCATCCCCTTCACCCACTGCATGACCCAGCTCTACTTCTTCATCGCGCTCATGTGCACGGAGTGTGTGCTCCTGGCCGCCATGGCCTACGACCGCTACGTGGCCATCTGCCGCCCACTCCACTACCCGACTGTGATGAGCCATGGGCTCTGCACCCGCCTGGCTCTCGGGTCCTGGGTCATTGGCTTCGGCATCTCCCTGGCGAAGATCTACTTCATCTCCCGCCTCAGCTTCTGCGGCCCCAACACCATCAACCACTTCTTCTGTGACATCTCTCCCGTGCTCAACCTCTCCTGCACAGACATGTCCACAGCTGAGCTGGTGGACTTCGTCCTGGCCCTCGTCATCTTTCTCTTCCCGCTGGCCATCACCGTGCTGTCCTACGGGTGCATCCTGGCCACCGTCGTGCGCATGCCCACGGGGAAGCAGAAGGCTTTCTCCACGTGCGCCTCTCACCTGGTGGTGGTCACCATCTTCTACTCCGCCACGATCTTCATGTACGCGCGGCCCCGCGCCATCCACGCCTTCAACATGAACAAAGTCATTTCCATCTTCTATGCCATCGTCACGCCTGCGCTCAACCCTTTCATTTACTGCCTGAGGAACCGCGAGGTCAAGGAGGCTCTGAGGAAGCTGGTCTCCTGCCGGCCCCCTCGCTCGGACTAGCCAGGAAGCTGAGGATGGGAGGGTGCCTTTCCAGGCAGCCTGCCGCTGTTCTCTTTCAGAAGGTACCTTTGCTCTGCGACAGCATCATGCCCTACCCCAGGATGGGCTCTTGGCTACGTCCTGCCCTTGCTCTGCCTTGCGGTCCTGTTGTCAGGATTCTAGGGGCACGGCTCTGGGAAGAGAGAGAAAAGCAGGGTTTCTTTGTGGCCACGGCCCCCTGGGACTCGGAGCCCGTGAGTACATTCATAGCTGAGTTAGAGGGGAGAAAGTGATGGCAGTTAACTCTTTCTTTTTCTTTCTTTCTTTCTTTTTTTCACTGCTATTACAAAATATCACCAAATGGGAAGCTTTAAAACATATATGAATTTATTCCCCCCAAGTTCTGGATCACAGAAATCTAAATTCAGTCATTGTCCAAACTACCCTCTCTCCTGGTTGTCCCCAGCCATCCTGGTAACCCCAATTGTCCTTGGGGAGTTACTTGGCTTATAGCTGGAGCCTCTTCTAGTGCCTGCCTCGTGTGTGTGTGTGTGTGTGTGTTAGAGCTGAACAAGTGGGTGGCAGAGAGGCTTCCCTTAGGGACCTGGCTGGCAGAGACCACTGAGTGGGGATTATGAGTGGGACAGACTTCCGCTCTAGCATGACTGCACCTGCCACCTCGTCACCACGTTCCCCAGATGAGGTCACACGCACAGGCACAGGGGTTAAGACTTCAATATCTCTTTGGGGAGGACACAGTTCCATCTCTGAAAGTCATGTGTTAGGAAGCCAATTTTGGATCCAGTAAGAAGCCAACCGATTCAGCAGTGGCACCCTGACTTGCCAGCCTCCTGACAGAGACGGTGTTCCATCCACAAACCCCTGCTGGATGTTCTCATGGCGGTCTTGGATCAGAGCCAGCTCCCGACCCACTCCCCGATAAACTGTCAAGAACCTAGTCTCCTTCCTGTATCCATTGACCCAAGTGTATTCTCTGACCTGTAAGCAAACATGAAATTTTATATTGATAAGAGTTTTGACCTTCTTACGTCCCAGCATGCTTACTTGTATCTTCTAGTCAATGAGGATAAAATAGATGATAAGAAAATAGATCCAACATAGGGCTTGCTAAACGGGAGCTTCCCTCACCCCTCAGCCCTCTTTTGTGGTTGGCTCTTCCTTCTCTTCGTCCTCTGCACGTTTGGGTTAACTTGCTCTCTTCTGACCCCCACTCCACCCTCCTTCGTCTCACACGGAGGGGACCAAGCTAAGGATGTGAGAGCAGTCTTCGTTCTGTGGTCCGGGGATCCTCATCTCTCATTGCCGTGCGTCTACTCCAGCACTTTGCGCTAGACCTTGATGCAGCGGGTCTGCGCACCCACACGGGGATTCCCAGCTGTCCCTGCAGAGCTCGCTCTTCCTCACTCAGCTTTTAAAACACTCTGCAAGAGAAGCCGTCCCTGACTGAAGACATATTTGCCTTATGAAAAACTGCTTTTAAGACAATATGCTGTTTTCTTTTGTACATCTTACTGTTATTGACAGGTTCTACGTGCACTGTTAAAATAAAACTGTCGGCTTATAGGTAATGTTTCCAAATCCCCAAAGACAAATAAAGATTAGATTTATGTAGAGACTGATAAAAAAGGGAAATAACAATGAAACTTAGGGGAAAAATGAGATATTTGATTTTCGTTAGAACTGACTTCTGGAGCTGTTGGAATGGGTCTCTATCACAAGATGACCCGACCAGTACTTGTGAAGTTAAAGAAGGGATGCTCCCCTGTTAACCAGAGCACCGAAAAGTAAGAATTTGGAGGGAAGTTCTCTTTCCTTCCATCCTCTTTCTTTCTTTCTCTTTCTCCTTTTTTTTTAAGAAGAAAAATACTTGTAAAGACCAGATGTTTCGTGAGTTAACCTTCACCACTCTTACTGTTCAGCTTGATGGATAGACAGACCACTCAGCAGTCTATTGGATGTACGCCCGCTGAGAAAGAACAGTACAACGCCTCTCAGTGCCTGGGCTCTCTACAGACTAAAGCTAACCAGAGAACCTGCTTCTGGTCCATGGCTTCACCAATGGCAACAGAAAGCAGGCTTCAAGCTGCATCCACTAGAACATGACAGTGCTAGTGGAGATTTATATCCTTTGATCAAGCAACTTAAACGTCTTTCCTTTTTTCCATCTAAGAGCAAATGACACCATCAGGAATGCCTTCTCTTTCTTCTGGAGTAAGAGGCATTGGATGTGATTATTGTCTCACTTTGACAAACTTCCAGAACCCAAGCATACATTATACTAGATATAGCCACAGGAGTTAGGGGACACAGGTCCATCCCTCAGGCCTCATGTTTGTGGGCCCTGGGTCCTTTCTCCAGCTGAGGTCTCCTCCTGGGATGGAGAACCTGTTCCTTCAGCGAGCCAGGCAGGGAAGCTAATTGTGCAGGGACCTGGCTGGAGTCGCTGGTCGCTGTGCCAAGAAACCAGGTCACAAAGCAGAAATGGACACGTGTGCGGTACAGGCTTGGGAAGAAGAGAAACAAAGATGCACTGAAAGCCTACTTCCCTGTGAGGACAAAGACCCCAAAGGACACGGATGTGAGCTCGTGCAGCCTCCTGGGGAGCCTCATAGGGGGCTTCAAAATGTTGCTGGACCCCCAACTATCATGATCCCTGTTTGACCTTACAAATCCGGCTAGACCAGAGGATGTACACTGGAACAGATAGGAACTGGAAACACAGGGAATCCAGGGTGGATGATCCCTTCAGGACCAGTGGTGCGAGTGGTGATACTGGGAGAGTGGAGGGAAGGTGGAGTGGAAAGGGAGAACCGATTACAAGGATCTGCATATAACCTCCTCTCTGGAGGACGTACAACAGAAAAGTGGGTGAAGGGAGACATAGGACAGTGTATGATATGACAAAATAATAATAACTTATAAATTATAAAGGGTTCAGAAGGGAGGGGGGAGCGGGGAGGGAGGGGGCAAAATGAGGAACTGATGCCAAGGGCTCAAGTAGAAAGAGAATGTTTTGAGAATGATGATGCAACAAATGCACAAATGTGCTTGACACAATGGATGGATGTATGGATTGTGATAAGAGTTGTACAAGCCCCCAATAAAATGATTTAAAAAAATAAAATACTGTAAATGGAAAAAAAGTTTCTGGAAAATCCCATCATCTTTCCATTCCATTTCTCCATGATGACATTTTTTCATTCTATTTCTCCACGTTGTTTTGAAGTTCTTTGTGCTCGCTCCTGGAAACAACGAGGAAGCGGTGATGAAAATATGTGCATGTAAAACAAGCGTGATTACTGTTTGACGAGTCAAAATAGGACGGGACATCTGACAGGGAGGTTAGCTATGTGCCTCCCACGCAGTGCTCTACGAACAGGTGGAAAGTAAAGGCCCCTGGGCGAGCTGGGGATGACCTGACGTTCAGTCCCAGGTAACTGGTCCATGGCTTCCCCCCCTCCTCAGGAGAAAGAGGCGTCTGGCTGCCCCTGTGAAGATTTACAGTCTCATAAACCAGAGGGGAAAGTCTACTCGATCCAGTAGGGTCACTATGAGTCAGAATGGACTAGGTAACAGTGAGTGTCCTATTACTTTTTAAAAAATATTTAATGGATAATAAGGGCCCAAGTGGCACAGCAAGTTAAGTATTGAGCTCATCACTAAAGCATCGTGGTTCCAACCAGCTAGTCTGCTTCTGCAGAGATGTACAAGCTCAGAAAGCCTTTGGGGCAGTTTTACTGTGTCAGGGTCAACCAGGCAGCCGAGGGGTTTTGTGGTTTGTTTTAATGGCTGAATGCACAGAGAAGACGGCTGCTGTGAAGTGAGACACACAGAGAGTAAGCTTCCATGTTCGGCCGGGCTGCCAGGGTGGCGTGACTTTGTGAAGCTGTCATCTTCAGTTTGACATTTTACCCAGAGGACCCACCCTGAGGCAGGCAGGCAGGAAGTTCATAAAGTGAGCTATAAATATGTCAATCATGCATGGACTATATTGTTCAAAAGACCATATTAGGCCATCTCATTCTACTTTGTATTGAGTCCTTATTGCGTGCAGGAGTCTGGATGGTGCAGGGGCTGAGTGTTGAATGTCTGCAATTCAGACACGAGTCTCTTCCTAGGCAGGCAGACGAGACGGATGGAATCTGTTGGGAGGGGCTGGGCTTGTTCTCTTTTGTTCTGTTTCCAGAAAAGCAAAGACCCGTCTTTCCTGGAAACTCTGAGGATATGTCTGCCAGGCTTTTAGGCCGGAATCAATCACATGCCTGTGCCCACCCCTAAAGTAGTCACTTCTGGGATGGGGCATGCTAAGTGGCTTAAGGCACTCAGGGGTCACCCCTGGAACTTGGGGTGAATCCACCTGCCCCGAGGCCTACTGACTGCGCAGGTGGGAGGAGTTGCCTTCATTCTCTGGACAACTGGACAACCCTTGCCGAGGGGTCGTGGGGAGATGAGTCACTTAGGGTTCAGTATAACAATAATGAAACCCACAACCTTCCTCTAGTTCTTAAACGCTTCCTCCCCCCAACTACCAGGACCCCAATTCTGCCTTGCAGACCTGGCTAGACCAGATGATGCACAGCAGTACAGATGGGAATTGGAAACGCAGGGAATCTAGGACAGATGAACCTCTCAGGACAAGGGGTGACAGTGGCGATACCAGGAGGGAAGGGGGGTGTAGCAGGGGGGAATTGATCACAGAGAGCTACATATAACCTGCTCTCTGGGGGATGGGCAACAGAGGGGTAGGTGAAGGGAGACGCTGGGCAGTGTAATATAAGATATAATAATAATTTATAAATTATCAAGGGTGCATGGGGGGGGCAGAGGAAGGGAGTGGGGCGGGAAAGGAAAATAAGCTGATTCTGGGAATAAGCTGATTCTGGGAACCCAAGAGGCAAGCGAATTTTGGGAATGATGAGGGCAACAAATGTATAGATGTGCTCTACACAATTGATCTATGTATTGTGATGAATTTTATGAGCCCCAATAAATTGATTAAA